ACAGGAAGTGGAGAATCAATTGGGCAGAAAAATCAAGATGTTTCGATCCGATCGAGGAGGAGAGTACCTAAGTCTTGAATTCCACGACTATCTCAAGGAATGCGGAATAGTTTTGCAATTGACGCCGCCTAGGACACCGCACTTGAATGGTGTGGCTGAGAGGCGTAATCGAACCTTGTTGGACATGGTTCATTCCATGATGATTCGTGCTTCACTACCAATCTCATTCTGGGGTATGCCTTAGAGATTGCCGCCCACATCCTTAATTTAGTCCCTACAAAGAAGGTTACCAAAACACCTCACGAGATGTGGACAGGGAAAGCTCCCTCGTTGGCACATATCAAGGTTTGGGGCTACGAGGCTTTCGTAAGACGAGAGACTCATGACAAGCTCGAACCTCGTAGTGAGCGATATATTTTCATCGGCTACCCGCAAAAATCCTTTGGATATCTCTTCTATAGACCGAGTGACAATGTTGTCTTCGTTGCAAGGAGAGGGGTTTTCCGAGAGCGAGAACTCATAAGCCAAGAGGACAGTGGGAGGCAAATCAATCTTGAATAGATTCAAGAAACAAGCGATGAAGGAACCTCTAACGTTGGTGCTCAACCCGAGGAGGAAAATCCGGTTGAACCGATTGACGAATCCTTACCTCTTAGACGTTCCGAAGGAGTTAGAGTTCAACCCCAGTTGTATGGTTTTCATATTACTACCGATGGGGACACGTATATTAGTGATAGTACACTAGTAAATCTAGATGAACTTAACAGCTATAAGTAAGCCATGGCAGGCCCGGAGTCTGCAAAATGGAAAGAGGCGATGGACAACGAGATTCAGTCCATGTATGACAACCAAGTTTGGAATTTGGTTGACAATGTGCCCGGACGTAAGATGGTTGGGTGCAAGTGGATCTTCAAGAAGAAGACTGACATGGATGGGAATGTGCACACATATAAGGCACGATTGGTTGCGAAGGGATTTACTCAAACTCCCGAAGTTGACTATGATGAGACCGTCTCACCAGTTGCTAAAATTAAGTTTATTAGGGTGATGCTAGCCATTGTTGCATTTCATGATTATGAAATATGGCAAATGGATGTCAAAACCACTTTCCTTAATGGGAAGTTGGTTAAGGATGTTTACATGGCTCAGCCAGAGGATTTTGTTGATGTGAAGCATCCCAATAGAGTGTGCAAGCTTGAGAAGTCCATTTATGGACTTAAACAAGCATCTCGCAGATGGAATCTTTGCTTTGATGAGAAAGTCAAAGAGTTTGGATTTATACAAAGAGAAGATGAATCATGTGTATATGTCAAAGCCAGTGGGAGTATAGTTAGCTTCCTCGTATTGTATGTCGATGACATATTACTCATAGGAAATGACATCCCGACTCTGCAGGAAGTTAAGTCCTGGCTCGGGAAGTGCTTCGCTATGAAGGACCTCAGAGAGACTTCCTATATTATGGGAATAAGGATAGTGAGAGATCGGAGTAAGAGACTAATAGGACTTAGTCAGAATACTTACTTGGACAAGGTACTAAAACGTTTTAGTGTGGAAAACTCAAAGAAGGGAGAATTACAGATCCAAAGTAATGCCAAGTTGAGTAAGACTCAAAGTCTGAGTACCGAAGCCGAGATAGCAGAGATGAGCCGAGTACCTTACGCTTCCACAGTTGGCTCAATCATGTATGCTATGACTTGTACTCGCCCTGATGTGGCCTTCGCTTTGAGCATGGTCAGTAGATATCAAGGGAACCCTGGCAGAGCACATTGGACCGTAGTCAAGAATATCCTTAAGTACCTTCGGAGGACCAAGGAATGGTTTCTAGTTCTCGTAGGGAGTGATGACTTAAAGGTGCGAGGGTATAGTGACACCAGTTTCCAGGCCGACAGGGACAACTACCATTCACAGTCGGGCTGGGTCTTTACCCTTAATGGAGGAGCAGTGACTTGGAAAAGTTCCAAGCAAGAAACCGTAGCTGATTCAACATGCGAATCAGAGTACATTGCAGCGAGCGAAGCGTTAAAGGAGGCAATATGGTTGAAGAACTTCATTGGAGACCTTGGAATTGTACCTGCCATAAAGGAGCCTATGGATATTTTCTATGATAATGAAGGAGCAGTTGCCTTGACCAAGGAACCGAATCATGGTAGATCTCGACATATCGACAGAAAATATCACTTTATTAGACATCGGGTAGAAGAAGGACTCCTCGTAGTTAAGAGGATATCGTCAGAGGATAACCCAGCATATCCGCTTACGAAGGGACTGAGTAGGGTTAAACATTTACAGCACGCTAGGAGCATTGGGCTTAAGGACGATGTTAGTTTGGATTAGATAGATTAGAAACGTATAATAGATAATTGTAATTGACATTTGATGATTAAATAAAGGAATATTATTTATTAGTACAGTTACTGTCTTATGTTAATTGATTAACTATTATTTTGCTTTGCATGTTTTGACTTCCTGAATAATTGAGATAATTAACAATAATCGAATTATTCAAACGGTCCATAGTCGTTCATATGTTGGAAGTAGATATGAATGAAGATTGTCATGAATTGGTGTGTAGATTGTCTGAAAGGCATTAGACATAACAAAAGTTTGTTACAACGTTTGTGAGTGCTTATGAATAAGTTTTGAGCATTGGAATAAACTCGCACTTGCTGGAATCACTTCATGGAATTTATCACGAGTGATCACAAGACGATAATATCATATGGTCTTAAAACCAAGATATATGGTTTATTGTTTGGTAATTGATTGTGCATTGATAATGCGAAACCGCATCAGTAAATTGATGTCATAAAAGGCATTGTTGTGTAAAATCTGATTAGTGAATAGTAAATGCATATAAGTCGAAGTTTATCTGTTTCTTTTATCCTAAGAGGGTAAAAGCAATATCAGGTCCCCTCGATGATTTAATTTGACTTATGTGTCAGGCCCGATCAGGACTGGATTGATGTGTTCAATTAAGTTTTATGTCAAATGAATCTGAGATCGAGAAACAAGCTACTGGACAATAAGTATGACTTTGTTCCATAAGATTGTCCGCACGATATTTAAACAGAGGACTGTACGATCCCTCATCTAAAGGACAGGTTACTGATAAGATCAGAGTTCGAAAACGTCTTTGAGAGCTACGATTGCTAATCGATTTATACTTACATTTGTGGTTACTAGACTTATCCAAGTAGGAGACTGTTGGATTAGTGTCTAAGCCCGTAACCATATTTGGTAAGTACTTGACCCAGTTGTGCATGCTCCTTTTGGGTTGCCTTCACTAAAGCAACTTGACTAGAGAAATAATAGAGAAAGAGGTTATTACGATTTATTAATATATTATAGGAATAATATATTAAAGGAGAAATCATATTTTTTTAATTAATATTGGTCAATAATTAATTAAGAATTAATTTTGTGATCAAATGTAATTAATTAAACTAGAGGGGCTGAATTGCAATTATGTGATAGTTTCAAATTAGGGCATTGGTTGCCCCACGGAAGGGGTGGACGAATTCAAGGGGATAAGGCCTTATAATTCGTCCAAGGATAAGGCTTCTAGGCTTATCTTATGGATTGCTTGGTGGGCAAGCAACTAGATAAGGATAAGGACTGAAACTCTAATCTCTACCCTATATAAAGACCCCTTGGCTAAGGGAAATCGGCCACTTGATCCTAAAAAGCTTAGAGCCGATTTCCTGCCTCTCCTCTCTCTCTCTCTCTCTCTCTCTCTCTCTCTCTCTCTCTCTTGCCTCTCCATTTACTTGTAGTGTTTATGAGCCATTAGAGGTACTACACTTGTGGTACTTGCTTTCCAAGACAAAAGATTGAAGATTTGTGTTGTTATTACAATATAACAACAAAAGGTATGTAATCCCTTCTACTATATAGATTTCGAAATACCTAGATGCATGCTAGGGTTCTTCTTGTGTTCATAAAGTTGCGTATCTAATAGAGAAAACATAGATCCAAGTCTAGGGTTGCATGCACACATAGGATTGTTTGTATAAAACCCATCAGGTTATACCCCAAGTTAAGCCCGGTTGTATGTTTTGGTATGTGGTATTTTGGGAAACTTATTAAGCTTTGTGCTTACAGTTTATGTTTATGGTTTCAGGTACTTCCGATTCGAAATGTAATGGCCCAACGTGATGGCACAACATCATCCCTTCATGATTTGCACATTTTGAATAATTATACTCTGATGTTTTGAATATTATGACTTAGTGTTTGATTTTGAATCAATTGATGAATGATTTGATAGACTTCAAATGAAAAAAAAAATTATTACTGTTTTGGGACGTTACATGATGAGAGGATGTCATCAGGTTTATGTCCTACTAGGTGGAATCGTTTTCTCCCTATAAAAATTAATATTTTCTTTTGGCGTGTTGTGTTAGATCGGATTTTAGTTATGAAAAAGTTGGTGGAAAGGGGGGTTGATTTGGATTTCGTCCTTTGTCTGATTTGTCAGAATGCTCAAGATGATGTTCTTCGTATTTTTCTTCATTGCATGGTTGGTAAGCAGTTATGGAGAAGCATTGCCTTATGTGTTGATTTTGATATTCCTTCATTTTATTCTTTGTGGGAGATGATGGAGTGGGTGGATTCTAGATTAGTTGTGAGAATGGAACGAGTAATCATTGACTCCATTTTTTTGGTTAATATTTGGGTGTTATGGGACTATCGGAATGGCTTAATTTTTTCGTAGCCCAAATTCTAAAAAAGATTTACTATTTGATACTATTTTAGAAACTTGGTTTTATTGGTTTACTTTTCCTAACTCTAATGCTAAGATTAATTGGGTTGCATGGTTACAAAATCCAATCATGTCTTAATCTAGTTTTGTTGATAGCTTCTTGCTAGTTTTGATGACTCTCTTGAATGGGTTCACACCATGGATAGAATCATTGAAGTTAAGGGTTTTGATGAAAGAAGGGGACTAAACTTAGCATCCGTACTGAGTTTACCAAAAAAAAAAAAAAAAAAAAAAAAAACTACAGTATTTGTTAAATGTATTTATCTACAATACAGTATATATTTATGTACAAGGAATTTACTTGTTAAATGTCATAAATGATGAACACGTTGAGTAAGTCTAACAGACGCAACACGAACTATATCAACAAGTTGTTCATCAAGTTGAAGCAACTCTCCAGAGCTACGAAGATGATGATACGAAGGTGCAATAAATTTGGCTGCCAACTCCACCAAATCCCACTGGAAACAATCAGCCCCAATTTGGATTATTTTGATTGCCATCTTTACAGAATCTAAGCAACTTCCAATCACTCTCAAGCATTCCTTATGAAGGTCTTCAAGAAGCCAACTATCTGACAGGCAATAAAGCTCCACATATGGAATCACTTCATCCAATTTCTCCTTTTCATTTAAATTATGCCATAAACAACCATATTTAGGCTGTGGCCTTAGTTTTCCTGAATAAAACCAGTTCACTAGTCTAACCAACGCTTCCCATCCAAGATCCACTTTTATACTTTCTGAATGGCTGCATACAAATCATATATCAGAGCAGAGTGAATAAACAAACATAAACATATCTATATAACTGTATAACTAACTATAAGCATGTTTAACCACCTTTCCTGCATTCCTGAACAAAGTAAGGCACGCATGTGCTCACAACTAGCACATAAAATGGCTTTATGAGCATGTAAATGTGGGTGTGACACAGAGCATGTTTCACACATCCAGCCCTCATATGTATTACCCTTTGCTTCAAGGACAATGTCCCTGTAATAAGAAACAAATTTCGTTAATATCTATACATTATTTAATCATAATTAAAAAAAAAAACTAATTTTTTTTATCTACTTACGAGAAATGAGAGCCATTAGGTCCAAGAGCAGGGGTAAGGTCAAAGGTTGGAGCGCGTGTTCTCCATTTGGGACGATTTCTGCAAAGCAATTGCAATAAAGGCTGCAAATTACAATGTTTAGCCAATGTTTTTAACTTCTTCACAACCTCTTCACCTGCCTTTAAATGTCCCGAATAAACATATTCCAATAATTTCAATAATGCGTGATGATTGACATGAGCAGAAAGCCGGATTTCTTTTCTTCCAATAGTTTTTCCTTCAGATGGCAAGAGTGATGGACACCCAACACTTACAATCACACCATGAACATTCACATGCTCCTGATTAGCAAGAATCAGTCTCAGATTCGTATGTTCATCTTCATCCCCACTTAAAACATTCCCAATTCTATTCCCGAGTTTTGATGGAAACCCATAAACCCCAAAATAGCTAAGAAGATAAGCCCCATACCATCTTGACCCAGAAGCATATGAGTTTATACAGATCTTTTCCACTTCAGTTATCATTTCAGACTCGGTCAACTCAAACCAGTCAACATTATTACCTTTCACTGAACCAACATGGTGCACCAATTCAGCCAACCCCAACAACCCATAAACCAAAAAACTTTCTTCACCTTGCCAATCCTCTTCACACCCATAGCAACATATCTTCATGTTATGATCACAATAATGAAGAGACTTAGACGTATTATTATTCAAACCTTCTCCATGAACATGATTACTACTTGATAACTTTTGTATGAAAGATAACAAGATCTTTATTCCTTGATTCTTGATAACATACCTTCGAAATTGAGGTAGACCTGAATAACATGCTAGGCTTATCAAGTTTATCACTTGGAGATTATCAGAGACTGTATTCACACCCGATGATAATGATGATGATGATGATGATGATGAAGCATTTAATGTGTTTAGTAAATACTTGATATCTTCCTTCACGTTTGGCTTTAACATTCCAGATAATATGGATTTGGCCTTGGAGGCAATGTACTTTGATGGAGAATAAATCATCAATAGAACTGCTCTACACACTGGTTCATGTACAGCATTTCTGCAACTCTGACGCGTTGAACGCAATGAATCCACAAACCCTAAACTGTCAACATTAAAATGCATATCTTAATAAATTGTGTTATTAAAGTTTTGAGTTTGTTACAAGTTATAAGTCTATCATCAAATGTAAGAAACAGACATGAACATTACCACGCACATGTGATGAGGATGTTAAGGTGGAATTCATTTTGAAGCATCTGTGAATGGAAATCTTCTGCACAATGTGCTGCAAGGCCTCCAAGAATGTCCCACAAATGCGGCTTAATTACAAGTAGAAAGTTAGCACTTAAACAATCTTGTGCCATGGCTGAAAAATCTTCAGATGATAAAAAGAATTGGGTGAGTTTCTTGATATGAAGATCATCTAGAAGTAGCTTAACAAGAACACTTTCGATTCCTAGTTTCCAGAAGTGCATGTGATGTTTCCCTGGCCAACATATAATCTTGGACACACAACATGAAACCTTAATCAATGACAATTGCTCTTTTGTAAGCTTCCCTGAATGTGAATGCAAGCTTAGACCATTTACAATGGCTTTGACTAATGGCTCACAATATGATTCCACCATTTTTGATCCTCCTTTTTCACTTACCTAATCATATTCAGTAATACACATTACACAACACATTACATTACACAATATGATGATTTGAAATTGGGACAATGACAATGTAATACCGAAAAGCATTCAGCCAATGTGAATCCAGCTAACTGTAGGTAATTAGGGTTTGATCCATCCATGCATTCCACCATCATTTGTAAAAGGGAGTTTGAGTTTCCACTATCTAAAATCTTTTCAGCTCCATTACTACATAAAGCTGGTACCCAAAATTAGGGTTTGTTCAGAAAACATGTCTAAAAGAAATTAACAATTAAACACAAAATTTGTATACCTATGGTTGAATACAACTGCAAAACTGAAGCCTTTACAGAAAGAATAGGCTCATGCATGAGAGAAGCTACTACTTCCATCAATGCAGTGTTGTTCCAAACACAAAATCTAGAGGATGGAAATCGCCAGAGTATTTTACTCAAAAGAGAGATTGTTTCCAAGAAAAACTCAGCTGGCTTACTCCCACTAGAACGAATATGATGGATGAGATTATCAATTGTCTCTGTTTCTTCCAAGATTTTCCATACTTCTTTCTCTTTTTTGGAACTTAAAGATGACAGGATCAAATTCAAAGCAGTGGCACATGAGATTACAACTGATTCATGACAAGAAGACAAAGAAGATGATACAGGATGAACTACATCCAACACAAGAGATTCAAGAATTGTACTAGGTACAACACTGATCATTCTTACAAACACCTTTGAAGCCAACTTCATTACTGCTTCATTTTTCTGAACAAGTGTAGTTCCCAATGCTGGTACTATATCAGCTAATGATTCCTGATATTTGGAGTAAAATGTTAGACCATACATTCTTTTTTTAAGTACTAACTACTAAAGAAATGATATGATCCGAAAGTACCTTTACTAAAGGGTGTTGTGATGTGTCACTGGAGATACAATCAAGGAAAGCATCAATGGAGCGAACAACATGCCTCTGTGTCTCCACATCTGTACAACACCATCTACGTCCTCCCTCATCATTTCTGTGATTCATTACAAGCAATAGAATTAATAGTCCAGCATTTCATGTTGCAAGAGAATGGCAACCAAAAATTAAACCACGTAAATGTAACTCTATCTGTTACATCACAATTCAAAACAATCAAATTTGTGTTACAAGATACAAACTGCTTCTTGAGAGCTCTTCAAAGATTAGGTTTGACTTTTGAAGAACAGATTTCAGAGGTTTTGAGTTGGAATTCAAATGCATTTAGTTAAAACTCCAGAAAAGCCTTTGATATATGGTCATTGGTCACGCTCGATCATTCTTCCCTAAAATCCCTAAACCTTTCGCCCTCCACGAATTTCAAAACCTCTTCGAAAGGATTGATATCACATTTTTAAACACAAACTTTCCAGCATAACAAACACACAAATGGGGTATCCGGTTAAGACTACGAGACTGAGAATTTGTGGACATACACATACGACTGACTAGTCAAAAAATCGAATTAAAGGCCGAAAAGGAAGTCAAGAAACCTGAGACCAAGTGCTAGAGCATTATAAAGGCGGCTACGTAGAGTGAAGAAGCGGCCGTTTAAACCTCGATTGTTCTCTGCAACCTGTTTCGTTGACGATGATCGCATTCTCACTTTTTTTGGGTTCCGATTTCTTCTAGTCCACGATTCTGACTATTTTTTTTTCGTGGTTCAATTATTTGAAGATCTTTGAATCTTATCACCTTTTTTACTTCTGTTGGATTAAAAGGGTGCCCATGTTCTCTTTTACAGAGCTCGTTCGAGTCGGTTGTTGCCCGAACTCATCATGGGGCAGGACGGGTAACGACTACAAACCGGTCGTCTTTCTGTGTTAGGGCTACACATAGGGACTTCAAAATTTTGTAAAAGCCGAAGGATTTTTTTTTTTTTTTTTAGAGAAGATTAAGAGGTTTTTTTTTAAGGAAATCTAAAGAAAAAAATATATATTTTGGAAAAAGTTACATTTCAATTTTTTTTAACAGAAAAAGTCTTTGATTATTTATTTAACACGATGATATGTTATTTTTTATTAAAAAAACTTTTTTGTTAATTTGAGTTAAAATAAAATAATTGATTCTTTTATGTTTCAAATTTTTTTAAACTTATCATAACTTTAGAGAAATCTACATAAAAATCTTTATATTTTGGTTATATTTACAAAAAAGTAACTTTAGATTTTTTTATTATTATTATTTTATATATAATTTATCCATTGAAACCGATTATTATTTGTAATTGAGCTTCATTTCTATATCACTACATACAATAGCAGATTTTGATGATTAATTTGCAATATATATATATATATATATATATATATATATATATATATATATATATATATATATATATATATAAAAGAATTTTAAGATTAAATTATAATATCTTTTTGCTAAAACAACCATTACACCTTGTTTGATTTTTAATATATGATAATAAATAAATATAATTTTTAATTGTACGTCTGTTTAATAAAATATAAAAAGTTGATTAAAATGTAAAAATATATTGTTACGAAAATTATCGTCACTCTTTTATAATGGAACTAAATCAAATTTTGATACGAAATATATATCTACGTACCAAGTACTTGATTTTGTAAGCTACCAATAAATTATATTTTGGTTTTAAAACTTGATTTTGTAAGGGATGTGATGGGTGGATAGACACTCTCATTATCATTCCAAATGACAAAATTATTAACTTTCATTTCCCCTTCTATCCATGTAATCGAAACTTTTAACCTCGGTGATTATTCTTAGACAAGATGTCTTTGCCATCTCAAACATAATTTGATATTATATTCACTAATAACGAGTTAAAAGTGACATGATATAGGTATTAGATATCTTTTTAGTTTTCATGGTAGCTTCAATTTTGCATATTCGGAAGCTTGGTTAATGTTGAGTTTTATGTTGGTAAGAGGGTGAGTGACAAGCGGCAATGGTAAAAACATGTGTCATCACATTTGAGGTATGTTATAACAAAATTAAAACCCTGATTGTTCAAGACTTTTAGTTACATTATTATTATTATTTTATCTATTTAATTTATCAAGAAATTTACTTTGTAATGCATAAAGCATATTTAATGGATATTTACATTATGGTGAGATTTTTCTTGACATATTTTTTTTACCTTTATACGACATGATAAAAAGATTAAATCTTTTTACAGGTGTTGACATTCTTGGACCATGTCTTGGGGAGTGTAAGGACGGTAGCATTAATAAAAAAAAAAATAGATTCAAAATAAAGATTCTAAGCAAAATGATGGAATTATATGACTAAATTTTTTAAAATAATAAAACTTAAATTGTGTCAAGTAGAGTTTCTTTTTTGACCAAACATTATTCCAAGTTTTTTGGCTTAACATATTAGTCATTCAATTGAGATTAAGTCATTGAAATAGCTATAAGCATGCATAGTTGTTCATATTAAGCAATTAACCCATTAACTTGGACTCAATCCTCAACAACCACTACAAACTTGTAACATTTGTTTCCTGGTATGGTTCTTATGAATTTAATTTCGTTATTCAAGTTTTGGGATTTCTACTAGGCCACGACGTGGTGATGGATTAACCACGATGTAGCAGCTCGGTTCAGGACACGTGCATCCGTGAACAGACACAACGTGACAAGGTCTTGGCCACAACATGGTGGCGGATAGGGTTCAAACCCCTAGATTATGGAATTAGTGCCCTATTTAAAGGTACTAACTCCAATGGCTGCCTCATTTGCCAGCCTACATCCTCTAAAAATGATCCTCACCTAAACCCTAGCCTCTTTGTGTGTGTTTTGAGAGCGTGAAGCCATTTTTACGAACCTTAAAAGAATAAGGAGTCCATCTTGTGGTTTGTGAGCTTGGTTTTGTCTTGGATCTAGCATTTTCATCTCATTTCTGACCTTGTAGATGTATAAAGTCTCAACCTTGCTCATTGTATCTTTAGATCTTGTTTTAGGTTATTTTAAGAGTTTTTTAGTCCAATCTTCTTATCTTTGGAGTTTGAGTGAACTCCAGAGCCTTTTAGTGCATTATATAGCTTCTAGACAATGTTGTTGATTGGAAAGTGGTATTACATGACCTAGTTTGGTGTTCATGCATTTAGTGCAACCATTAAGAGCTTAGGATTAGAGATCTTGACTTATTAGACTGTATTAATGGATAAAGTTGGAAACTTTATCCATCAATACCTTGAGGAGATCCATATTTGAGCTTTGGAGCTCTTGGAGTAAAGGGATAAAAGCTTAATTCATTAAGTTGTTTTTGCTTAGTTGCCACGACATGGTAGCTGGCTTAGCCATGAATGTTTTGTTGCATGGTTGTCACGACCTGGCCAATAGATGGCCATGACGTGGAGCTCATCTGGGGTGATTTTGATTATTGACTTTGACCTGGCTGACTTTTGGTCAGTTGGCTAGTTTGGAGGGTAAACTAAGGAATAATCTTGAATATTTCGATAGGTGGGTTATAGCATCGATTTCTTGTTAGTTCGATGTAACACTCATAAAATTTTTGAAAAATTTAAACTTTTAAAATAAACACAAAACCATTCTTCATTACAATTTATTTTCAAAAATAAGTTTCACATCAGAATTTTCCCAAAATCATAACACAAAACATGAGGAGGTGCACGATCAAGCATTCGCCTTCACGCGATCATCTGAAGTACCTGAAACATAACCAAAAATTTAAGCCCAAAGCTTAGTGAGTTCCCCCAAAATACCAATACATAACAAACAGTACATATATAGTATCAGCATGCAACAGACTGGATTGCTCCAGAGCCCACAACATAAGTCTAGCTTGCCCCTTTGGCCTACAGTTTAAGTCTAGCTTGCTCCCCGACCCTCAGTACAAGTCTGGCATGCCCTTACTGGCCTTTAGTTCGTATCTGGAATACCCATGAGTCCTCAGTATGAGTATGGAATGTTCTTTCTAGCCCTCAACTCATATTTGGTATGCTCCAGGGTTTGTTGGCTACAACACAAAGCAATACAACCTTAACCCAACCCACACAATATGTCGACATATAACAAATAATATCATAAGCAGATAAATAAGCAATTCACAGGTAGTCCTACAGATCTACCATACTAGCATAACAAGACTAACATGCATAACTATATCATACTCAACATATCAGCGATATCAGGTCATCAAACCAATGGGTCGGCCTTGGTGCCTTCAACTCGAAAGTAGAGTGAGGATTACTCACCTCACAGGCTCACACTGAAGTATCAAACAGAACCTTTGGCCGCTAGCTCACAAAAACCTTGAAGTATCATAATAAATAAAACCTCAAATCTCGTAACTCATAATTGTCCATTAACTCTTCCTTATGTAACACCTCGTTTATTAAATAAATAAATAGATACAACTAATATGAATAGTAGCCCTAAAATCAATAATTATATAGCAAGGTGTTGGTCTCGAGGAGCTATTTGTCACAATTTTAGAAGTCGAGGGTTAAAAGTGTAAGTTTCAAATTGCTTTCGTAAATATTTATGAAGGCAAGGACTACTTGGTAAATTATTGGGATTTAATTTGAAAAGATTTTGGAGGCTAAGGGGTTAAATGGTCATATATGGACTTTAGTTGAAAATATTTTGTAGGGGGGCTATTTGCATAAAGTTGAAGTTAGTTTGAAAGAAAAAGATAAGGAAGGGTTGAATATGTCATAATTGAGATCTTAGAGGGTCAAAAAGGTAAAATGTGGATTGCGTTTTAAAGAAAAAGGGAAAGGAGGGACTATTCTTGGCATTATGGAAATTGGTTTATGGGGACCGGATATATAACTCGTCACCCTTACAGGAACCCTAACCCTAATAAGAAGCAATCAAGCGCCACCACCACCTAATACCTCCATTCCGACATTGCACCACCTTATGTCTCCCACCACCGACCGCCATCCTAGTCGTTTGCTTCTTCGACCACCGAAGCCACCACCACAAAACATGGGTGCCGGCGAGAATGTCCAACTGTCGTATCCTCCTTGTCGACGACAACAAGGTCGTCATCTCCTTCCTCGTTATATTCACTCACTCCTCCTCCTTCTATTTATTGTTGTTGTGATCATCTCCGGTGGGAGATGCCTACCCTCTCTGTCACTGTTAGTCGCTTCTGCTGCTCGTTCTCATGATTGCTACGTTCCAGCCACGAGCCGCCACCGCCTGTGTAATTCCTTTGCTGCTCCAGCCACTGTTTACCACCCCGAAAGGCTACAACATTCGTGTCTATGAAGTGTATGTATGTGTTTGCTTGGCTGGGAATCAAAAGAACGGCCGACACCACCGTGAGGTGGTGGCTATCATCACAATTTGTTGTTGTCGCTGCTGTAAGTCACCAGGTAGGTGGTGGGGTGCATCTCACAAATCTGTAGTGTGTGTGTTTATCTATTTGTGTGTTTTGTCTAGCCGGAAAATGAAGGAATCCACCACAACCACCGTGAGGTGGTGGCTACCGTCATGCACCACCGTCGACCACCACATGGTGGTTGTGTGTGTACTTTATTTGAACGTGTTATTTTTTGGTTAAAGCATTGTAAAATGTAATTAATGAATATTATAATAAAGAAAACCCATAACCACCACCGTGAGGGGGTGGCTGCCACCTCCTGCCGCCACCAGCCGCCATGTTGGGTGGCGGTTTGCCTTGTTTGTGTTTTGACTCGTTTGGGATGCTTGGACAAAATGGGCTAGAACCATAACCACCACCGTGAGGTGGTGGCCGCATCCGTGAACCGCCATTGACCACCACTACCCGAGGTGGTAGTGGGTGGTGCTCGACTAATGAAACCCTAATGGGCCTAATGAAACCCTAGTGGGCCTAAGGAAGCCCTAATTGATCCAAAGACTTAGCTATTGG